AACCTGTAGAATGAGGAAGCCCTGTCACATTCTGAAGAGGACTTGATTGATGCTGCCAGTAATGAAGGTGAAAACCATGCTGACGATGAAGACGTGATGGAGAGTAATAGTGCTAGAGAAAAGGCACCCGAATTTCCAGTGGTATGTAGACAGTGGTTCAATAACACATTGCTAGTAGTTACTGTAAGCCCATTACATAAAATTAGAGCATTTGGAGACAATACTACATAATAATAATAATAATAATAATAATAATAATAATACATATACTGTATGTGCTAACTGTACCTATTGTTCCCATCCAATCAGCATATATATTTCTACTGTGCCTAGATCACACGGGGAAGCTACAGTGTGTTGCCTAACAATGTTAGTTTTTGTCAAGGCATGACATTTTATAATTGCGTGATGTGGAGTAGAGGAAGCACATAGTGAGGCAGCCTGAAGTTAGGCAGTTTCAAAATAACAGTATCTGTAGAAGTAAAAAATGTGTAGGTTACAGGTCTAAATGGGTTAAACATTACAAGTATCATGGGTTAAATTGCATTTTCAGTAAATTACAGTATTTTGTGTAACCCTTAGGAAAGTTACTTTCTAGGCTATGAACCAATTGTGAATTTTGTAATAAGGGTAAAATACTTTATGCTAGACTGATATTACTACTTAGGTTTCTGCTGCACATTCTCATTTATACATGCTTCTTAAAATCTTTTTTCCTATATCTATAGGGCAGTGAAGACAAAGCAGATGGTGACAAGCCCCTGTATCCTGGTGCACCTGTTTCAAAGGGAGAAAGTTTATTGATGCTGATGTCCTATGTGCTGCGGAACAATTTAACGGGCAAAGCACTTACTCATTTACTGGAACTGTTCAACATAATGTTTCCAGGTCTGATTCCACCCTCACATTACCTTTTCCATAAAGAATTTTGAAGTTCAACACAGTCTGAAGTTCATTTTTATTGTGAAAAATGTTTAGCATACTGTACCTTGGCATTAGTGCACACTGTCCCTCTCATTGTACCTTTTGCAACACAGTATTTGATGCCAACACAAGTTTAAAAAAGGGCTTATACTTTCTTGTAATTCCCCTTCATGAACAGATTAAACAACTTCTGCAGGAACATGATGTCAGTCTTACTGAAAAAAGTAGATCCTTTGGTGTTATAACTGACATACAGTCTGGTGGAGAATATCAAAAATTGTGTGACAGTGGAGTTCTTGGAAAAGATGATTTGACTCTGATTTGGAATTGTGATGGTGCACCAGTGTTCAAAAGCTCTAAATGTAGCATTTGGCCGATTCAATGCCAGATAATTGAACTGGAACCAGAAATAAGAAAAAGGCACATTTTGATGTCAGCATTATGGTTTGGGCCAACTAAACCATCCATGTTTACATTGCTGACACCATTTGTTAAAGAAGCTTCATTATTAGAGACTGAAGGTATTGACTGGCAAGACAGACAAGGACACGGTCATGTTTCCAAAGTGTTTGTGCTGATCTGTAGCTCTGATTCTGTGGCTCGTCCATTGCTTCGCAACACTAAACAGTTCAATGGTTTTTACGGCTGTGATTTTTGCTTGCACAGAGGTGGTAAATCGTATCCATACGAACAACCTGAACCCCCACTTAGAAATGAGAGGGATCATTTCAGTCATGCAATGTCAGGTACAACTGATGAGCCAGTGTATGGAGTCAAAGGGCCATCTCCTTTAATGCAACTTCAACACTTCCAAATGATAAATGGCTTCATTCCTGAATATCAACACAATGTGTGCCTTGGAGTCACTCGGCAACTCTCTACACTGTGGTTTGATACAACAAACAGTGATTCCCCCTGGTACATCGGTAAAGAGATTGATGAAGTTGATAGGCGACTTGTAAAAATCAAACCACCTGTTGAGATTACTAGGACACCAAGGTCACTGACTGAAAGGAAGTTCTGGAAAGCTTCAGAGTGGCGAGCATTTCTCCTTTTCTATTCTCTACCTACATTGAAAGGCATACTCCCTGCAAGATTTTGGAACCATTTGTTCCTACTAGTGTTTGGCATATATACATTATTACAGGATACCATAAAGACTGAAAGCATCCTGATGGCAGAGCTAGCTCTAAAAAAAATTGTCATTGTGTTCCAAAGACTGTATGGGAAAAACAACATGACTTTTAATATACACTTGCTAACACACACTGCTCAAAGTGTCAAACAATGGGGGCCATTATGGGCTACATCAACCTTTTCATTTGAATCCAATATGGGCACTCTCAAGAAGTATTTCCATGGAACACAGTATGTCCCCTCACAAATAGTCAGAAAGGGCCAAGAACACTATCCACCCAGAACATGAAAAGGTTCAATCTTTTGTTGAAGAACTTTACTTTAGTAAAAGAAAAACAGAATATTGTAAAATACTACATGAACGTGTCAGAGGTTTTGGTCATCCCCCGGTGCAAAAAAGTATTAAAATGTCATATAGGCTTGCCATTGCAAAGTTGTGTGGAAATCTAAGCAACTGCTTCTGGTCTTACAACCGTTTTTTGGTAGATGGAGTTCTGTATCACAGTCAAATCTATGACAGACTAAAGAAGAGATACAACAGTGCTGTGTGCTTGAAAGATGGTACATTTTGTTTAATTAATGACTTGGTTATTTTTAAACAAACGTGTTCACATCAAATTTCTGCTTTTTGTTCATGTGCCAAACTATGTTGTGTTTTAGTTGAGGTACTTACTAAATCAGACAGGCCTGTATGTAAAGATTCACAGATCAATGTACAAAGTACTTTCATATATGAGGTTAAAAAAACTGAAACTGTTAATGCTGTGTGGCCTGACGTGATTAAAACAAAATGTGTTCTTGTTGAGACAGATGACACTGTGTACATAACACCATTGCCAAACCCTTATGAAAGGGACTAGAACGTGATCAATAAAGTCAAGTCAAATGTTTCTCTATTTGTGTGTATGTTTTTAAGGTACATAAAGATAATGCAATTGAGCACACATACTTTTTACTGTAAACTTAAACTCCAGCACTATATGACATGTAAGTTTATAACAGGGGTAATACCTCAAAGCAAATGTGTGTAGTGAAAAATGTTTTTATCATGCTAAATTAAATGTAAGCATGAGTCAATGGCTTGACCATATTCTGTACTTGGATCAAGATATACTAAATGTTACGGCCTCACCAAACAAAGGCTCCCCGAAACATAACAAAGACGCCAAGACCTCTGGTTTAACATTTATTATTTCCAACCACTTAACCATACTTAAAGGGTAATGAAAAACAGACAAAAGGAGATGGAGATCCCAGCCAAAAAGAACAAAAGATGGGAAGTTACTGGGCCAGCCACGCCATGGGCCATCACACCCAGCTCATTCCCCTACCTATTAAAAGAAAAATGTACTCAACCTACTAATCAAGAATCAAACCTTTAAACTAGACCACTAGTAATCTCCAACCCAAACTGAAACAACAAAGTAAAATAAAACCAAACACTCTAAATCATGTTCAGAAGAAAATTACAAAAAGAAAGGGAAAAATTCCCCAGAAGCTGCTGCTGCTGCTGTCAGGGCAGGTGTGAGAGAGATACCCCCCCTCCCCCTCAGGTTCCCCCTTTTCTCTCCTGGAAAATGAATGGATCCAGGTGCTTCATTCCTACAAAGAAAGGCAGAGAGAGCGAGATACAGAGAAAACACTCCCACAGGCAGTGTGCAGTATTGCACCCACATGCCACACGTAACACTAAGTATTAGTACTTTGTGGCAGAAAAGTATAAGCTTTAGTATTAAAGTACAAGTGTAAGTATTAATGTACTTAGTCTTAGACTTATCTTTATACTTATCAGTATAAGTCAGGTATACTTCACTATACTATTCTTAAGTATATAAAATATAGTATATAAAAAGTAAACTTCAGCTATACTGCCTCAGTTTTAGTATAAAATAAGTATACTCGTAGTACACTTGAATAAACTACTTTTTGCTAAGGGTGGTAAGAGTAGAGGGTCTATGCGGTCTAAAAAAACACATTTACAATGAGTAACGTCCGCAGTTTAAGTTGAAAACACATCTACCCACAAAATGTAATTTGAGACATGCATTCGATGAAGAGAATAGCGTTTAGGCTACTCGAAATAGCTATTAGTCTGTGGTGCACTTGCACGCATCTGCTGCAGACAGGTCTTTTATTTGCGCTCTGTTGGATTTTGGCAGGGCGTTTGGTGTGAAGAATCCCCTCGATAAAAATGTGTTCCTCTTTTGTGGTGATTTGTGTTTATTCCGACATCACAGAGCGCTGCACAGGTGTTTTCTGTCAGACAAACTATTGTCATGACTTAAATGTTTCCTATGCGCGCATATTAGGCTACTTTGAAGGGGTGCGCTGCAGGGACGCTCAAATTCATTATACGAGGATTTCACACTACAAATTTTATTACAGTAGGGCCTGGGCTTAAAAAGAAGGCTAAAAGGTACCAATTGTTTTTAAAAAGGTTGACAAAGCCAGCACTATGATCAATAGCTTTTAATAATTTCTGCAAATGTCTACTTTGCTCTTTCTGTCGGTGCGTTTTTGGAACTCCCCAGTCGTCACCTCTCTAAAGTCTCGAGCTTGCGCTGCATCTTCCGCAGTTATTCAGTCAATAAAGTCTTTGTCTTTTATAAAAAATGTGTAAACCGCGACCCGAATATTATTAAAAAATATATTTTTTTAGTGATTGGATCAATTTTTGCATCACTGGTGCGCTGAGACGTTGGATTTTCTAACCAGATCCCGGATCATGGGCTCTTAGTGGTGGTTGCAGCTCGGACAAATAATAAATGACTCTTCAAACTCAAAACATTCTTAAATATTAAAGTTTTTTTTCAGGAGCGACTGAAGAGAGATATAAAACGATAAAGTGATTAAAAGATTGTAGTACCGGCAAGAAATGAAAACTACTTTCACCCCTGCCATCCATCCATCTTCCAACCTGCTTATCCTTCTGGGTCGTGGGGGGTGTGGAACCTATCCCGGAAGCTACAGGCACGAGGCGGGGAACAACCCAGGATGGGGGATGATGGGTACACTGACACTCCATTCACTCACACATGCACACCTATGGGCAATTCAGTAACTCCAATTAGCCTCAGCATGTCTTTGTACTGTGGGGGGAAACCAGAGTACCTGGAGGAAACCCCACGACAACATGGGGAGAACATGCAAACTCCACACACATGTAACCCAGGCGGATAAACATTCATTAATAAACAAATAAAACATGTTGGTTGTACTATCAAGCTAAATGCAAACGAGTTTTTAATAATAATGAATAAAAACACACTTAAAAAACATTTGTAAACGTAGTTTATTGACGTGAACTTGCTGTAGACTGTAGAGGTAAGGGTGCACTATGAAACATATTGCTATCAAGATAAATATAAATGAATAAACTAAAACATGTTGGTTGTATTATCGAGCTAAATGCAAATTAGTTATTAATATAATCATTAATAAAGACACTTAAAAAAAACACATTAGTAAACATAGTTTATGGATGCAAACTTGCTGCTGCGGTAAGGGTGAACATGAAACTTTTGGGGTACCTTGAAACTTACGGGGATTCTTGAAACTGCATCATCGCCATTGCATCATCGGCCTAACAGCTGAGCGATACGTCACAGGCAGAAGAAATTTGTTATGACAGCACCACAGCATGCAACTAATCAGAGTTATTTTTTGTGTAATTAATTAATTGAAATTAACATGATATTTCAACACCCCTAATACAAATATATGCATTTTACCTCAATGCTTCCTGTCTGGTCTGTTTTCACTATCTTGTGAATTAGTTGGATACTGCCTAACATTGTAAAGTTGCCCAACGTAATGTTGTGTTGGGTGTGGTTGCATACTGAGATTTCAACATAAGGCCAATTGGTGTAGCAGGCCTAAACC